GGACCTGGGCCGAGGTGCTCGGCGGGGCCTGCCCCGGGTTAAGTGCCCGGAGGTGGGTTAGGCTCCAGACTACGGAGTCCGTGCTCAACGCACAGAGCTGAGCTCGGACTGAAAGCACCACCGAGTCACAGGGATCCTTCGGGCCTGCGTGCCGCAGCCTGGACCGTCCCTGTTCCCTCCTGCAAAGCCAGCTGGGGACGTGTCTGGGGGTCAGCACGCTCCTGCGCTTCTCTTCCAGCTCGCCTGACCGTGTCCTACAGCCGGAGCAGCGGTCCTGGCGGGCAGCACGTTAATAAAGGTGAGCGAGAGGTTCGTCCACTTTGAAGGAAAAAAAAAAATAAATCAGCCTTCAGTCGTTTCTCTATACTTTCTGCTAAAATATTGAGCGCTTGAAGTTAAAGAGCATCTTTGTGCTGTCTGATGCTAATTTTTCATTATCATTACCCTGCATTTTAACACAACTTCTAATGGTGCTCGAGACCGGTGCTGATATATTTGATTCTCCTCGAAACACTCTTATTGGGGTCATTGCTGCTGCACACGCCACGTGAAACACCACCTCTATCTAATCTGTTTTCATTGATCAAACACACAGCAAGCCAACTGGATTCTGAAACTTCACAGTGCAGTAAATTCTCAGCTTAATTCAAATAAACTAAAAATACTTCCTCTTCTGCCATTGCCATTAAAAATAAGGTAGTTAAGTGGCTGGCAATAGCAATAAATCTTGTAGCGCCTAGAAAGACAAATACCATGACAGAGTCTCCATAAAAATTTAGAGTTTGTCTTGTAGAGTGGTATGTGAAAATATAGCAAGAAAAAAATGTGATCTTTCAGGAAATTAATACTGGAATCATCCTGTGTTCAAAGCCAGCAGTGAACAGGCTGAATTATCTCATGAAACTTAGGAAGGCAAGCCATTACATTGAAAAAAAAGATCCTATTTTTCTTCCCAGTGAATACCAAGGCAGAAATTCGATTCCACCTGGCATCAGCAGACTGGATTCCAGAAGATGCGAGACAAAAAATGGCATCGATGGTAACTACCCTCCCCTTTCCATCCACAGTTTAAATGTCACACTTTCAGAGTGACAAGTCTAACAAGGTTTCAGTGATCACATCTCATTTTCCCCTCTTTAGCACAGGAATAAGATAAACCGAGCTGGCGAGCTGATTGTGACCTCTGAAGAGAGTCGCTACCAAATGAGGAATCTGGCGATTTGTTTAGAAAAAATCAGAACCATGGTCGCAGAGGCAACTGAGAAGCCCAAGGTGGTATCTAAGGAGACAACACAGAAACTCATAGAGAGGTATATTTATTGCAGTGGCCTTTATTTGAGATGGATTCAGATTATTATGTTACATGATTTAGTTTTCAGCATCTTTAAACAGTCTTCTTCGTACTCATTTGGATTTCCTTTTTAAAGAAAAAAATCGCTGGTCCATGAGGTTTTAACTGCTTTCCTGGGTAGTATCCCAAGAACATAGACTTTTTTTTTTCTATCTGTGGACACTTGTCGGCTCATCAAATCTACATTATAACTGTGCTCAAAGTTGAATATTTAAATGTTTTCTTTGTACACTAAAGGATCTTTTCATTTTGTTTTAGGGTGGAAAAAATGAACCGTGAACGACTGCGACAGAAAAAGATACACTCAAATATAAAACAGAGCAGGAAAGCAGACTTTGACTGAGAACAGCGGAGACTGAAGTCCTTGGCATACTGTCTTTTTAAAGAAATGGCATTGGCAGCTGTAGATGATGCTAAACTCACGAGCTGTATTCAATAAAAATGGTCTAAAAGTGTAAATAAAAATATTTAATATCTCCTTTTGAACCTAATGGTACACTGTGACAGCCTGTCAGTCGTTTTGCAGAAAAATTATTGTTCACGTTTGAGAGAAACTAAAAATTCAGATTTTCGTCAGCTACTTTTTAAAATTCTTTGTGTCTTTCATCCAGCCTTCTGGTCTCTGAGAGCACCCTGTGCTGCTGAACACAAAAGCAGCAATAGATTTGGGAGGGGGAAGGGAAGAGCAAAAGCAGTCTTAACTACATAACTAAATAGCAAATAGAGTATTCATTGTTCCCAGCACTTCCCTTCTATTTTAGTTGAATTTTTTTCCTAAGCAAAAAAAAAAG